CGCTGAGCGAGGGTAGAAAGTGCAGCACGTATCACAAGATCATTACCAAAGTGAGAGTTTAAATATCAATAGCCCACAAAAGAAATTTCATGACAGCACAACCGCGAGTATGAGATCAAATTCAGTTGACCTCAATCACAAGACGAACCTTGTCAGCGTAAATCCACTGACTGGAGCGAGCTCAGGTCAACAACGTGTGTCCTGGTCTGAGGAGAGAGGACGCGCACCGGTGGCTACGCTAACGATGGCTCATCGAAATGAAAATAAAACTCAAACGGTACAACAGCAAAAAAATAAAAATCACACACCATCCGCTGCAGCTGAAACAAGTGATAAATGATCCTCCTGCATCTTTTGTTTCTCTTATCACTAATGCAAAAAAAAAAAAACCAAAAAAAACAAGGGAGAAAATAAAGACAGCACAAACATTTTTACCATTTCTCAGTAAAACACGCAACCTCCACATTGCACCAGATGTTCAGCCTTGGATGAAGACATTGGCCCAGGAAGTAAATCACAAGAGGGATACACACACACACACACACACACACACACACACACACACACACACAAATTCCCATCTACCGATCATGTCCTTTTAATGAAAATCAGCTGATAATGATCAGCGGCTGATCAATCGGGGCATCCCTACTTTTTGTGGTCCTTGTATCAGGTTATGCTGACGCCTGTCGGAGGTCCCAGTTCAATGCAAAGCTGAGCAGACTGACTAACAGCTAAACTGGCTGCTATAACAAAACACAAAAAATTATCGATATCGGCCGATCGCACTCATAGATGATCGTATTGGTACCGGCAGCAAAAAAAAAAAGTGATTGGGGCATCCCTAGTAACTACTTCCCCATCTGTGTCCTGACAACTGACAAAACAACGAGACTTTGACAGACTATATGTAAGTCAAGTCCTTTGTCACCCAAGCTCAAGTCATCAAGACTAATCATAGATGAAGAATCTTTGCAGAGGATATCTGCAAGAGGATAAACCTAATCTCCATCCTGACTGAAGTGATGAGTCTGCCCTCTTCATGTTCCTCCTCCTCTTATTAAAACCCTCTGGGAACAAAAAATTAAAAAAAAAAGTCTCAACTCATTCTGAGCAGGCTTGCTGAGCACAATGTCACACGGTCAGCGTAGTGTGAGTCAGCATGTTCCTGCGACACCTGCGAGGAGGTAAAACCTGTTCAGAGGACTCTTCATCTCACAGGAGGTTTATAGATAGAAAGGCTGCGCCGCATCTTCCCTCGAAACGTCTTTAATGTGTCCACAAACAGAAACACAAACAGTGACACTCCTGAGTAAAGTGCGTATAAAACACTAACCCAAGTTTGTGATCAACATTGTTCACGACTGGTTCAGCTGGGAAAATCTGGTTTAGCTGGATTTTTGCGTGTGTGCTGTGGTCATCACACTGAAGATAGCTATTGTATAGGAATGGATTTATGATTACCTGCCATGACAACAGGGCTGATACTGTTTCCACCTTGTGAACCTGTGTGTGTGTGTGTGTGTGTGTGTGTGTGTGTGTGTGTGTGTGTGTGTGTGTGTGTGTGTGAGAGAGGTCAAAATGAAGGCCGAGTTCGAAGCTGGGTGTGGTCCAACCCATGAGTACTGAGTACTCATAGAATAATGTAGTAATGACCATCAAGTACTCATGGGTATGAACGTCAACAGTTGGTATCTCAGTTCATTTTAAGATTTAACCTGTTTGAGGTAGAAACTAGAGCTGTGCGATTAATCAAAGGGTTAGTTGTTGAGTGTTGATTACAATTTTCTCTTCCAACGATTAAGAAAACAAGATAATGGAGATAAAATGATTATAATGCCACATTCTGTTTCTCAACAATTTTCACACACACAAACCCCCCCCCAAAGACTTCCTGGTTATATTTCAGCGTACATTAGAATTGTACTATATATTATATATATATATATTCTTCAGACTCTTCAAAGTGCATCTGGCATATCACTCTAGCACAACAGTCATACACGAGCACATAAAGAGGAAACACCCTGGTGCAGCGAGGCAAATTGTTATATTAAATGACTAACTGGAAAATAATTGCAATAAAATTACTGTTAGGTTAATAAAAAAAATAATCGTTAGATTAGTCGAATAATCGAAAAAATAATCGCTAGATTAATCGTTTAAAGAATAATCATTTGGGACAGCCCTAATCTCAATATTGATAAAAAATAACCCTGATTATGATTTTTGCCATAATCGAGCAGCTCGAGCAGAAACGCACCTGTCAAAAAGACTAATCAGGTGTGCAAGAGATTTCTGATGACCTCAGATTTAACCTGGTGACTGCAGGACCGAGACATTAAATTAATAAGTCGCACATTATCAGGATGATACTTTAATTTTGAATGGTATCAAAACAGACTATGTTTACATTATTTCAGTTTGTGTAACAGATGAGAAAATAATTTGTGGTCTTGTTACTGAAAAGGAGAACAATACTGAGAACCTTCCTCAGGGGGCTGACTGACCTGTGTTTTCTGATCTTATCTTTGCTATGAATAAACACTGGAGAAGAAAACAAGAACCACACCGAGCCGACCAATCACACTTCAACCCTGACACATAGTTACAAATTAAGTAATTAAGGAAGAGCGCATTAGTTGCAGCTACAAAGCCTCCACATGTAGATGGGAAACAGTCACAGACAGGAATTACACAATATTATATCGACCGAGTGAACCTTTAATGTATGTACAAAAAAACAAGAAGAGCTGCATCTAAACCGGGGTCGGAAATGACTCAACACACCAAACGGATCTTTGGCAGAGAATCAGAGAATTAAAAGATCTTTTTTTTTTTTAATTATCATGATTGCACAATCTGACAAATACAAACAGGAAAATAGTAATAGATCAATATCTTTATTACTTATTTATTATCATCCAGCAGCGCGCTGATATAATGGTGCATCTGTAGCAGGCTTGTTCTGGTCCCTGCTGACCAGCGTGCACTCCCTATGACCATGAGGCAAACAAAGCAGAGCAAAACAATACAAAGGCCTGTGCATCAGACAGGCTGCTGATTGGCTACCTGCTTTCTGTTATAAATTATACATAGAGTATTGTTTCTCTGTTGCCTGGATGGTTGCCTGGACTAGTGTTGGCTCAAACTTTGCCTTATCCCCATGTGGCAACCAACACATTGCAGATAAAAGAGGCACAAAAAGATACGATCAACTGTGCAACTGCAAAAGTGCTTGAGAAACCTATTAGCATCTGTTTACCAGCCCGTGGTAGGTCAGCCAAAAATATACATTTCACTAATTCATGCCTCAACTTGTGTTGCATTTTCCTTTAGCATGTCTTGGTCCTGCCCCTACTGCGACATTCATCTCAGCTGTGTTGAAACCTGGCTTTTAGTACATGCCTTACAAAATCTTTTTCCTGTTCCCTTAAATCTAACCACAGACCTCGAAAATATAGATTGCAGAATTGAAAAATCTCTTGAAGGTGTTCACCACTACATCAACAAAAATGGAAATCTCTCATCTGTGCACAACTGCCTCACTCTACAATGTGAGACCATCAGCATAGCAACAAACTAATTAAAGCACCTTTGGGAGGAAGACACGTAACAAAATGACATGGAGCTAGCCATTCTCTGTGGAGCTGTAATACCAGGGAGAACGGCCTGATGTCTCATGTAACGCAGGAATAAAATCTGCAAGTGTCTTCCTTCGAAAACCTGTAGATGCCTTGTAATTTTAAAAAAAAGAATGCAAACTGTAATTTCTTTAGGACTGAAAGTTAAATTTTAGTAAAGTTCAGTACTTCGCATAACTGATGCATTCACTGTATTGTGTGCCCTTTTAATGGTAAGGTGATAAAGTCTCTCAATCCTCAGTATCAGTGCCTTACACATTATTGCCTGTTGTTGTAATGGTGGTAGTCAAAACATTTTTTAAATGACTAAACAACAGGATAATGGTATGTGTCTACACAGACTCTCAATCTTAGTGTAAGCACTTTTTTTTCTGGCATCATCACTGTTAGAGGCCAGTTGATGCAGCAGTGCAGCAGCAGTGCCTCTGAGGGGATATGTATGTCAGGGAGCGCGGATAAACAGCCTGCTGTGTCAGTGCAAACCTTGGTGTCAATGACCTCCAGTGCACCAACCTTTAAAGACAAAAGCTTTTAGTTTAGTCTCTCTCCTCCGAGTCAGATGTAAATGTGGATGGAGGCGGTAAGAAGCCAAACAGGCAGGGGAACATTCCCACTGTTTGCTGAGGCAGTTCAACGCGATGACTTTAACCTAGACCTTGCTTGAGATAAGTGCTGCTGCTGGAGATCCAGGTGTACAAATCTCTTGCTATAGGGAATCTCACGGGTTTCACACACTATTCTATGCACATATTTTTCTTTTCTGACTTTAGCTGTCTCACATACATTTCACCGTAGGCAGATTTGAACTAACAGTCGTACCCTTGTTATACCAGATAACTTACTACTATTGCTAAAAGACTAACAGTAATTGAAAATTAATATACAAAATATATCACTTAAGCTGTTGTTAATAAATGATTCACTTACAACTTAACATCACACTACATAACTGTTAGCTAAGTGCCAATAAGCAGAACCCATCCCAATATGCTACCGTCAACTGTTTGCTTGCTAACATTAGCGCGTACAGTCTAGCAGTTAATGTAGCTTGACAAATTAAAACTTAATTTACCTCTCCGATGTTTTAAAATGAGAGCAAGGTAAGTAAATAAACATACTGGGAACTGTTTATCCTTGACAACAACACACCAAGCTGACGGTCCCAACTCTGACAGGACGCCAGGGAGCTTTTTGACAGCTAGCATTAACGTTAGCGGGCGGGCTAAACAAAAAAATAAAGATGGCTAACTAGCACAGCTAGCTACCTTCCTTGTACACAAAACGCAAAGCTATATTGCAGCTGTGAAAACACAACAGGAGACCATAGACAGAGCGGTAAAACGTCCACCATCTTACCTCGGCGATGCGTGCTGGGTGAATGTTTTGACAAGTCCAGAGAGATGAGCAGTAATTTACTGTGTAGCCTAAGATTGACACAGAAGCGGAAGTCGCAGCAGTGGGGGCGTGACTGGATTAATGATAGACATGGTCCGCAGCCAATCAGATGTTACACACGGAACGCTTGGCCAATAACAACACTGGTAGTAAATACTGGATAAAGTCGACCGATTTGCAATACTACCCTTGTAGCTTGACATGTTTTGGTTTTATTGTTTCATGTTATGCTATACATCTTTGCCATTTTGACATAATGAATTACACAATAGGCGTTTTTCATATTTTTATTATTATCATTAATTACTGACTCAAAAACTATGGATATATGTTGATGAATTGAAATGAATATAAGTCTGCATTTGTCAAATGCGATCACTGAGCTGTAGTTTTAGTTTTAATGGTGATCGTGCACGTTTGTGGGGCCAACATAAAGTCAGGTGGATTATGAAACACAGGTGGCCACTGAGCAACACACCCTAATGGTTTCATATTCCAGACGTCTCCTCATTATCTCTTCAAGTAGATTAACTGAACATGATGAGAATGACTGGAATTATGTCTCTGCACTTGATGTGGATGTTTCATGTCAGCAGCTGATGATGAGGGGGATGATAGTAAAAAAAAAAAAAAAGACGATAAATATGAGATGGGTTTATAATAAAGTTAAAATTTGCATCTTTATTGAATCTCTATATCATAATCAGGTAATTTTCTGGGTGTGTGAACACATCAAGAGGTAATGTTTTATTATGTTTATATTTTCGAAAAGAAAACCATGAAGTAATTCTAATTAAAAAGCCTTTGCATAGTTGGTGTTCATTTCAAGCCCAGTTTATGAGACATCAGCATGGCTAGAGTATATTATCTCCCTCATCAATAATGGAGCCCTTCAGACATTGATATGTTAGATACAGCTGACTGCCTGCTTAGAGACTAACACAGGCATGACAAAGAATCAGGCATATGGTCTACATCGACAGTAAATCCAATACACCCATCGTCTTCTTGTCCACGTGTCCTTGTGTGTGTGTGTTAGTACGTTGAGTTTGTGTGTGTTGATTTGTCATGTTGTTGTATGAATAAATGCATCTTTATCATCTTCTGATATAAAACAATAGTGTTCCAGCTTATAATCAGTTTCATAAAGGTTTTCAATGTGTTGCTCTAAACACTTCCTGGTCACTCGTACGTCTTTGTTGAGAAAACTCATTAGCTCCACATGAAGTGAAGCATTTATGGTTTGTTTGTTGGCAATAAACAAAAGAGAAACTTAAGCATGAGTGGGAGTCATTTTGTCTGAACACTGAACAAACCATCAACTGAAAACATAAAAGCCTAAAATTTTTCCTTGCTGTATAACCTCAATCTCCACATGACTGCACACAGAAAAGTTTAATCTCCAATAATGATTTGCTGTTGCTGTTGTTATTGTAGGCGGCAGCAGACAGACAAGCAGTGTATTTCTTTTCCCACCATTACATAACAGCCACGATGGTGTGATGAGAAGAAAAGAAAAGAGAACAGAGGGTAGGATGAGAGAGAACAGGAGAGGAGGAGGGAACAGACAGAGCAGAAGAGAAAATGGTCTCTATTCAGCCTCACAGTGGGACGCTTAGTCCTGCTTATACACAACACACACACACACACACACACACACACACACACACACAAAGGCACAGTCATGTACTGTACATACAGATGCTCAGACCAGCGTACATAATACACAAACATGCAAACTAGTAATGTGCTAATAGTGGTGAAGGCCATTTGAAAAGTATCCCATCACACAGGCTGAAAGGAGGGTCAACAGTGCTGCCACTGTGTACACACACACACACACACACATACACACACACACACACACACACACACACACACACACACACACACACACACACACACACACTGTTTTGTGAGAGCTGTTAATGACACTTGTTCTCATCTTTTAATACCTGAAAGATTCCTGAAGCAAAACAGGAAAAAAAAACTCTCTGCTTTTATATGGAATCAGTTTAAAAACAGCATCATCAAGTAAAAGCAGCTGGTTAAACACACGAGTTTCCCTGCCACTCATCATCAATCTCTGCACTCGAATAATTTGAATAGTTTACTTCCTGTTTGCTGCCAAATTGCCTTTCAACATAAAATCACTTCAGGTCAAGCAAATGTGGCAAACAGGCCTTCTCTTCCTCATGTGTTGTTGTTGTGTTGTTGTTCTCCTGCCACACTGTCACTCCTCTGTTCACCACTAGATGGAGGCAGAAGATAGAGAAACTTTGTTCCCATGAGTCCGTCTGTTTCTACTGTCCCATTGCCATGTGGAACTGAATCTGCTTAACTTCTATTTTATTTGTTAATGTCCCCTAATAGTCTTCATAATCCTTCCTAATATAAACTGGTTGTGATGCAATATGGGCACAAAACACCACACTTACAATGTGTACATACAGTGAGTAGGTATTTAATTATTAGCATTAATATAACATAATGAAATGTAAATAAAAGCATGTGATGAATGATTTATGTGACTTTTCAACACTATATGATGTGCAAATGTACATGATGTTCAGAGTAACAACTCCACAGCCAAACATGTGTAAAAGATGTAGTATAAAAGCTCTTCAATAAAAATTAAATTATTCTTAGATAATAAAGATACTTGTAGTGGAAGATCTATTTAGATCTTTTACATAATTAAAAGTAGCGGTGGGACGGTGTAGAAACACTTTGTAGAATGGCACGTAATGCTAATTTAATCTTTTTTATATACTGCTGTAACTTATGCATCATGATTTATTGCTACAGTAAGTGCTACTGTTGAATATATTTGGCATTAATAATCTGAGTCTACAGAGCAGTTAGTAAAGCTGTCAGATAAACATAGAGCAGTAATTAGTACAACATCTCCCACTGACTCGTAGAAGTCACTGAAGTAGAGGTATAAAGTTGTATGAAATATTCAAAGTGCACGTATGTCATATTCGTACTGAAGTGCAGTACTTATGTAAATGATATTTTCCACCACTGCAAGATGTAAGGGGAAAAGAATAGGGTCAATGGTTAGAGTTTGTGTTTGTAATTTATTCATTTATTCTATCTCTTTGGAAATGCAGGAAATATTGAAAAAAAATTCCAGGAAAATCATATTTTTAAACAGAACAGATGTGCTGGTTTTCCACAGCTGTAGAACACTGCACATGTCCTACCTCTTAAAGTCACATTATCTTTTTGAGCGCTCCGCTCCCAAAAACATCACTTTTGAAACACTGCCCTCTGGTGGTCATAGGAATTGAATGTCTTGCTTAGGGACACTTCAGCAGGGAGAGGAGGCTTTGATCCGCCTCTGAATAAAAGATGATGTTTCATATATCTGGGTCTGGAACCAGGATAGGGAACCCGCTGAATGCCGATTCAATAAGAATATGATAGGAACATGGAACCACTCACACACGGACACACACTGCACACTTGTGAAGCCGTAAACAGTCTCAGCAGGAGGTCTGTGATTTGATCATTATATATAGGCCATCTACTGTACCCAGAAGGGAAGAGGAGCTCAGGAGAAACTTGTTATTCCAGATAAAACAGGCCACATGAGACTCATTTCACTTGTAGGAGACAAATCAGTTCAGGCTGACAACACTGCTGCAGAACCACCAGCTTCAGTCTCTGAGGGGAAACCTACAGAGCTTCAGTCCCTCCAACTGCACTGTGATAAAACATGTGGAAGTGATTAAAAATACGCAGCGATAATGAATGCAGCAGATTAAGAATTACTCTGTGAGTGTGTTGGTTTTTATAGGTGCTGCAAAATGACAATGTGCATGAGTGTTTTTGAACATCAAAGAAACATTTAAAGGAACATTTTGGGAAATTCGCTTGCTGTCCTGCTGTTAGTTAGGTTAGAAAATTGCTCTGAATATAAAAGCTGTACCACAAGCAGCTGGTTAGCTTGACTTAACATACAGACTGGAAACAGCTAGGCCTGGCTCTGTTTGACTATAACAAATATTTCCCTGTTGAAATGTTGAACTCCTCCTTTAAGAAACTGGGGATTTCTCTAAACAGTTTTGTTGCAGCAAATGAAAAGAGATTTTATCACCAGCTTATCATCCCTGATGTTGAGCAATAAAAAAACGGTTTTAATTGCAAAATCTGCACCAACTAGTTAGTTCAACTTCTCATTCAAAAACCTAAAAATGTTTCCAGTTAATGTTAATTTGAACCAGACGATGTTCCTTCAGGAAGAAGCGCAAAACAACATGGCTACAGCAACATGGAAATGAAAGGAATATCTGTCCCCTCATGTCAGCAGGTAGACGTAGCAGTGGCACTGCTGATGCAGCTCGTCTTCATAACCACCAACACACCAACACTCGCCGCCTGCCTTCCAATTACTGGACTGAGGATAACTTGCAAGGACAGCAAGTTTCTATTATCATCTTCTTTCCTCTCAGCAAACCAGACTGGGAACCATGCACTCTATTATCCAGACTGGACAGTGATGAAAGGCACATCAGGGTGTTTTGTCACAGATAATTAGTAAAATATGCTCATTGTTAACTAGTATTTGCTGGTTGGTCCGCTGGGTTTCCTCCCTCCAGTCATGCATTGAGGTCTGGACAACGGTGGGGTGATGTGAGGTGTCATGGTGCCAGTGTGGGGGTCATCACCTCATTTATACTCACATTCCTGTTGAGAGGTTGCGTGGCTGATTGATTCAATGACTGGCATCAAGGAGATATCAATCAGAAATCAAGATATCAATCCTCAAAACACTTGAGAAAGAATCTGGGTGGCTGAATAATTCAACAAACAACTTTTTGTGGATTCACCCATAATGTCAAAGCAAAAATAAAAATGTGTTTGTTCTCTGGGAAATACTGAGCTGAAAAGTCAGCTTTTTAGATGTACTGCTAATGCTAGGTAAAGATGTACTGTAGGTCTAGCTTAGCCTTGTAGCCACGCTACATCCAGATAAGCTTCAGAATAGAGATATAAGCAGGCAGAATGAATATTGAAATTAAGTTTTATTAGC